AAAAATAAAAATAGCTATCTAAATCATGGATGTCATTAATTATCTTCATATTCATGATATCGTTCATAGAGATATCAAATTAGAAAATTTACTCTATGTAGAGTAAGATCCTGAAATTCCAACAATTAAATTAGGTACTTTACTTACATTTTTTTATTAATTTTAATAATTTTATTTTGAATTTTCTTTTAAAATAGCTGACTTTGATTAAGCCAGAAAAATGCCTTATGATTGGTTGTATATTAATGAATAATATGTTAAATAATACTATCCTATTGAAGGAGCTGTAAATATACTATTAAAAATTAGTTTAAATTTATTTTTATTTTTATTTTAAAGTGCGGAACTATTGGATACTGCCCACCAGAATTAGTCAAAGATTTCTTATACAGTTTTAATGTATGATCATAATATCTAAAATTATTTTTAAGACTTATTTTTTATAAAGAGTGACATTTTCTAAGTTGGAGTTTGTCTTGCACTTATAGACAATTTTGAAACTTTAGAACCAGTACTTGTTAACAAAAGTCTAGATTATTTGAACAACTTTTCAATCCCTTTTGAAGTAAAACAACATAATGAATAAGAAGTTGTTAAAAGGAATACTAAAATTTATGATATACTGCTTTAAACTATTGTTTTCAAACAACATAAACGGTCCAATTTATCCCTTATTCTAGATGGTTTTTCTAAAAAAGGGTACCAATACCATTCAAAAGTTAATGCAAAGCCAAATTAAGTATTTATAATTAATATATTCATGCCCATTAATTATTTCAAATTATTAATTAGATTATATCATCCATCTATTAAAGGGTTCTTTCTTTAAATTATTCGTAAATATTTATCATCTTTTAATCTTAAATATTTTTATGTTTTATGATATTTAGATTAATTCATATTTAAAAAGCAAAAAAAATTTAAGTACAGATGGGGTGAAAGCAGTTGCTTCCGAAATAGCTAAATGTACTAATCTCTCTACTTTAAGCCTTTGGCTCTAGTAATTTTTTACACATTTTCTCAATTTATAGTTTAAATAAATAATTAAAGAAATCAAAGAATTAAACAATATTTATTTATTTAATTAATTAATTAAGTATTTTTGTTAATTTTAATTAGGTCTAACAACATAGGTTCAGATGGGGCGAAAGCAGTTGCTTCCGAAATAGCTAAATGTACTAATCTCTCCACTTTAACCCTTTCGCTCTAGTAATTTTTTACACATTTTCTCAATTTATAGTTTAAATAAATAATTAAAGAAATCAAAGAATTAAACAATATTTATTTATTTAATTAATTAAGTATTTTTGTTAATTTTAATTAGTAAGAACAACATAGGTTCAGATGGGGCGAAAGCAGTTGCTTCCGAAATAGCTAAATGTACTAATCTCTCCACTTTAAGCCTCGACCTTGGGTAATTTTTTACACATTTTCTCAATTTATAGTTTAAATAAATAATTAAAGAAATCAAAGAATTAAACAATATTTATTTATTTAATTAATTAAGTATTTTTGTTAATTTTAATTAGCTATAACAACAACATAGGTTCAGATGGGGCGAAAGCAGTTGCTTCCGAAATAGCTAAATGTACTAATCTCTCCACTTTAAGCCTCGACCTCTAGTAATTTTTTACACATTTTCTCAATTTATAGTTTAAATAAATAATTAAAGAAATCAAAGAATTAAACAATATTTATTTATTTAATTAATTAAGTATTTTTGTTAATTTTAATTAGTAACAACAACATAGGTTCAGATGGGGCGAAAGCAGTTGCTTCCGAAATAGCTAAATGTACTAATCTCTCCACTTTAACCCTTTGGCTTGGGTAATTTTTTACACATTTTCTCAATTTATAGTTTAAATAAATAATTAAAGAAATCAAAGAATTAAACAATATTTATTTATTTAATTAATTAATTAAGTATTTTTGTTAATTTTAATTAGGTCTAACAACATAGGTTCAGATGGGGCGAAAGCAGTTGCTTCCGAAATAGCTAAATGTACTAATCTCTACACTTTAAACCTCGATTTCTAGTAATTTTTTACACCTTTTCTCAATTTATAGTTTAAATAAATAATTAAAGAAATCAAAGAATTAAATAATATTTATTTAATTAATTAATAAAGTATTTTTGTTAATTTTAATTAGGTGGAATAGTATAGGTTCAGATGGGGCGAAAGCAGTTGCTTCCGAAATAGCTAAATGTACTAATCTCTCCACTTTAACCCTTTGGCTTGGGTAATTTTTTACACATTTTCTCAATTTATAGTTTAAATAAATAATTAAAGAAATCAAAGAATTAAACAATATTTATTTATTTAATTAATTAATTAAGTATTTTTGTTAATTTTAATTAGGTCTAACAACATAGGTTCAGATGGGGCGAAAGCAGTTGCTTCCGAAATAGCTAAATGTACTAATCTCTACACTTTAAACCTCGATTTCTAGTAATTTTTTACACCTTTTCTCAATTTATTGTTTAAAAAAATAATTTAAGAAGCAATATAATTAAACATTAAATATTTATTTGAAAGTACTACCACCAACTGATAAAAATTAAAAATATAGAAATTAAAAAATGTATAATATTTTTTAAATATTTCGAAATTAAATTTAATTGATTTAGTTTTGTTTATCAGATTAATTTTAGTTTATATTTTATAAAATTTGTTAAAATAATGCATTTTGATAAAATTAACTTTCTATTTAATTTATTATGAAAAAATAAGATTATTTTCTTTATTATGCATAATAAAAACAAATGTTTTCCAAGAATTTAAAATTAAATTTGGGAATGAATATCAATATATGTAATGATAAATTTTATAAAAAATTTGTTAAAATATTTAAATGAATTAAAGAAGTATATGCCCCATTAAAATTTAAAACTTAAAACATTATTTAAAAATTTGCATAATATTTAAAATAAGGATTAGCCATACTAAAAATTATTTCCCTGCAACATCTATTATAAAATTTATCTTTTAAAAATCAAAACTAAAAAAATTTAATTAATTTAGCCTATGTAAAGGCTAAAATCAACAACAATGATAAGATTAATTAGTATTATTATTAAGGAAAATATTTTAAATTTAATATTCAGATATTGTTTAAAAAATGAAAAAATGTGATAATTAATGAATTAATAAAATTATTTTAATTAATTAGATTAAATTATTTAGATGGAATAATTTCTTTTGAGAGTTACTTTGACAAAGACATTAAGCTAAACATAGAAATATGAGTTATAAATATTAATTAGATAATATTATGATTTATAATAAGTTTATAAATTAATAATTATAAATTTTTTATGAGGTTTGTTTATTTTTTTTAAGTAAAAATAATATACTTAATTAATAAAAAATTAAATTAAAATTAAATAATTTTAATTTGTGAGAGTAATTGTTTTATAACATATTTAAAGAATTTTACTAAATTTATTTTTTCTAAAGATTTCAAAATTATATAATGTATTGTGATAAAAACTATTTATTTTTTATCATTTTTTATATTTTTAAGAAAAAAAATTATTATATTTTTGAATGAAGATTTATTATATATTTGAATGAAAATTACTATTTTAAATAAAATGTATTATATATTAAAATTAAATAGTATTTTTTGATATTTATAATAAGAAAATTTAAATTACTTTTATTTGATAATTGATTAATTGATATCTTTTAATTAAGGCATAAATAAATAAATTTATTTTTGGAAAAAAAATAGACAATAATATAAAAAAAATTTAAGAAAAATGGCTTAATTAAAATATGTCTTAATTCATTTATATTATGTATTAAAATTAAATAGTATTTTTTTGATATTTATTATAAGAAAATTTAAATTACTTATATTTTTGAATGAAGATTAATTATATATTTGAATGAAGATTTATTATATTTTTGAATGAAGATTAATGAAGATTTATTATATATTTGAATGAAAATTACTATTTTAAATAAAATGAATGACGATTCACTTTTAGGACTTTTAATAATATGAATCTCATGGTTTTTACCCATTTTTGTTTGGAAATTTCAGATCATTTCTGATAAATTCTAATTTTAAATTGGTTCATTCGGATTTAGAATGAGGTTCAATGGTAATTCTCTATTAGATTCATGTGAAAGCTTTATGTTTGGATGAGTTATTTACTCTCACAAAATATATATTCAAGATTAGCTGAAGATATAAAATTCTAAAAGTAAAATAGATGGTGATGTTTTTGTTGGTTTCAGTCAGATTTAAGAAATTTATTTTGTAAATATTCATCTATTATTTCTTCTTAAAAATACTTTAATTGCACTGATTAGCCTGATCTGAAAAAAATTAGTACAATTTATTTGAGATTGAATTCAATTATGAATTAAAAATTCAATTGATAAACCTTAAATCTTATCAGATAGATATAATAATTCAGAAATTAAAATGTTGAAAATGGAGATAACTCTAACACAATAAATAATGTACATTATACAAAATATAATTTATTTAGTAAGACTAAAATTTGTATATCAATCAATGCGAATATATATCCAGATAAAAGAATTCTAAGAAAATTTAATGATAATTAATCTAAAATATATAAATATAATTACATTAATAATGAAATCAAATAATTTTTTTATTATTTTGGAAAAAAATTAGTGCAATTTATTTTAGATTGAATTTAGTTATGAATTAAACATTAATATGATAAACCTTAAATCTTATCAGATAGATATAATAATTCAGAAATTAAAATGTTGAAAATGTTATAACACTAACACAACATATAATTTACATTATACAAAAATATAATTTATTTAGTAAGATTAAAAGTTGTATATCAATCAATAAGAATATATATCCAGATAAAAGAATTCTAAGAGAATTTAATGATGATTAATCTAAAATAAATAAATATAATCACATTAATAATTATGTCAAATAAGTTTTTTATTATTTAGAAATATAAATGTTAATTTTCCTTATGTACTCACAAGTTATTCTCAGCCTTATGGTTGAGAACCTAAAAATTTTAATTATTGGTTTAGTTTTAATCTCTTTAAAGAACTCAAGATTTAGTTGTTATCATCAAACTAATATTTGCAGATAAGGATTGTAACTAATACTGAATGAATAATCAAAGTAAATGTAATAGTAATATATACATTTTTTCGGTACTTACAGCAATGAAGTTAAAAATAATTGTGTAATATGCAATTCAGAAAAGCTTGTTAAGTACTTTGTTTATAATTCCTGCCTAAAAAAGACTTTTGGAGAGCTTAAAATTCTTAATTTAATGAAAATTGATTTTACTAATTTAGCCAGCAAATTTATTAAGATTGGTGATAATAAATAGATCAGGATGTGGGAATGATTTATGCTCTGAAGGTTATATAGGAGCTCAGTGTTTATTAATAGTGAGTTTTTGAATTATTTGGATAATAAGGCTATTTTTAATTCTTCAAATACAGCTCTCGCTAACATAACAATAAATACTTTTGCTTACTTCTACTTTAGTCTTTTTTATATTTTTCTTCAACATAATAAATAGATAGCATTATCGGATATAAATTTATAAAGGATATCTTTCATTTTACACGAAAAGTATTTATTTACATTCCAGATAGCTTAATAAGAAAATTAGGCTTCCATTTATAAAAATACCATTCAAAATCTAGTTGCTTGGAAACTACTAGATAAGTAAATGCCATTTAATTACAAATATTTGTTTTTAATTCATTTTTTAGCTTAGCTAAGCAAAGTAGAAATAAGAAATTTCATAAATTAATTGAATTTAATAGAATAAAAATGTATAAAAGAAAATGATATTTTAGACCCATGTCGCATAAACTAAATTTTTAGGGTTAGGTCTGGGTGTGAGACACCATTTTTCAATCAAACATTTAAAAGTCGAGTGTCTTAATTAAGGAGAATTTACGGTATATTCTGTATTCAGCCAAATATACTTTTTAAAATTATTAAATTATTCTGTATTCAGCCGAATCAAAAAAAACCTTATTCGGTCGATCACTAATTAATATAATTCATTATCATATCCTTTTTCAATTAAAAAACTATCATTTTCATCACCAAATTCATTCATAATATGAAATTCTCTGAACTATTAATTTCGATTTTACTATCAGTTAGGTTTTGAGAGTTAAAGTAAATTAAATGAATTTAAGTTATTTTATTGAATCCTTCTTTTACAATTTCTGGTTTAATCTTAGTCGTCTAAACTCTATATAAAACATCAATAAAACTATGTCTATCAATTTTTTTGAAACTTCTACTATTTGCTTACTCTCAACTTTTCATATTAAATTCCTCTTATTTAACTATTAAATTTTATTTAAATATCTACATCATAGTTTGATTCATAGGTTAAAACCTAGAAGGAGTAAAAGGTTTAATAAATTGATAGTATATATATGTCTTTAATTTGTTTCAGAAAGACATTATCAATCCAATATTCAAATCCTATTTTATTGTTAAAAGCTCTATTCTTTGAAATGTTAAACCAAATGATATAATTCTTTGAATCAAGTTATTTGTCTAAGCTCTTTCTTGGTCCATAAAAAATAATTATTGGTGGAAACTTAGTTCCATCAATTAGATTACTTAAATAAAACAACTACATATGACTAAAGTTCTGCATCAATACTTTTGACAATCTAAGCATTCTTTTCACTAATATATTTTGTACTTTATTTTATCTGATATCTAATTAAACCCAAGTTTCGTTCATCTTGCACTATAAAGTTTTATTTGAGAATTTCTAGAATTTTTCTATAACTATTTATTTAAATTTTATAAGATTATCTTTAATAATTTGTCCTGATGCTTTAAGTATTTTTTTTGCTCTTCTGTATGTGAGTGATATTAAATCTTTTTAAAAAAATTTTCATATGTCCTCTAGAGAATTTACACTATGTCTCATTAAATTTGGCTTACGCATTTTATTTTTAATCTAGTTAAAGTAATTTATTTTTTTTACATTACAATATTTAATAAACTTAATCATTTTTTCTTTTTATTATAATTGAAAGTATTATTAGTTTTTCTTTGTTGGAAACCAAACTGAACAAAATATTTTTTATTAAATGCTATGAAAGAGCCTGTTTGAAAACATAGAAACAAAAAAATTTTGAGCAATAAAATTTGTGCTCTTCATGGAAAACTGCAAAAAAAATATAGATACATTTTATCAAAAAAAATTGAATTTTAAAAAAAAACCTATAATTTTTGATTAATTGATAATGAATAGTTTATTTTTTATTAAAAAATGAATGGATATTTTATATTTTTGAAGACTTTCCACATAAATTTTTTCTTTATTACCGACTTATTTTCGATTCTAATTTAAATCTCGTCCATAAAATCGATCTCAGAGAATAATAATATAGCAGTGTAAATTTTAGAAGATATCATTTTCCAACATTAAAAAATGTTTTACAGTTTCCACTTACTCTGAAAATTTTATTCAGATTAGTCTTTAGAGATTTAAAAAAGACCATCATATCCTTTATTTATTCAGCTTATTTTTCGTAATTTAGAATTTATTTTCTATCAAATTCAAATTAATTAGATAAACTTCTCTTTGAACACCCTTTTTCTAACTACTTTACAATATCTTATTTAGTTTTAATTGATTTGCACTTTGGATTATTATTTTAAGTCTGTTTGAGACTTTTAATTCTTTTATTCTGATTAGCCTACTTCAACATCAATCTCTTTATTACTCCATTTTTTTATTTGAGCTTTGAGATTAATGTTTTGTTGAATTATTTGTTTACTTTTTAAAATAATCTGTTATTCTTTTTGTTCGATCTTTTGATAACTATTAAAAAACTGACTTTAATGATAAAATTGTGAATATTTAAATATAATTCCTTATGATATTATATAGTAGATAAGGGGAATTATAGCTCAACTCACCTATACTACCCATAAGATATCAAAATTTAACGTATTTTTCAGATAAATTCTGATGTAAAAAAAAAAAAAAATACTTAAACTGCCATTTATTCATTCATTTATATAATAATATTTTTACAAACTCCCTTATTAAATATATCCAATCAGCGGAATTTTAAAACCAGGAACAGTTATATAACAATATAATGAATAAATCAATATAATTAATAAGATAAAAGAGAAGATTCATCAACTATTTGCTCATCTTTTGCAAACATAATTAATTTCTCAGAAGAATCACTACTTCTTCCTTAAGGAATTCCATAAAATTAGCAAAATGGTCAGTCAACTTTCTATATTTCCTATTTTTTGAAGCTGAATAAAATGAATATTGATATTACCCACTTTCCTTCTAATCTTACTAGAAACTGATCTAACTTTATGAAGACATACTTACTATTCTAAGATGTTTTATATTTAACTTAACAAATGAAATATAAGAAGGAGTTTCAATATAACAGGAGGAGATGATCTCGCTCATGCAAGAAGAACCATTTACTATCTATCTAACTCACATGTCTACCAAACTAAATTAAGATATCACTATCTCAAAGAAGTATATAGCTAAAAGCTATTTATTTAGATACCTAAAGAGCGATAAGTTCTTTAGATAAATATAAAATAAATTATTTAAAATGATAAATAAAGCTACTTAAGAATGCTTATTTATAGATATTTTCTCATAATTATTCTTGAACAGCTATATAAGCAGTTTATAAACAAAAAAATTATACAAATTCATTGAATGTATTATCATTTATAACAAAATCAGATGATAATATTAGATAAAGTACCTAAAAATTTATTTCAAGGTTACTTTATATTTATTAAATATCTTCTTAATTGAAATTTATTAGATTAAACATTCATTATTCACTATCAGTATTTATTCTGAAATCAAACAAATATAAGGATTTTAATTTTCCATATATATTGAATATAAATAAATGTGAATATTAGAAATTGACTTGGTAGAATATTGAAGATTTTATATAAGGGGAAAATCTTTGTTTTTTGTAATATTTTTTATTAAGAAAATAGCTAATTTAGCAAAGTGAATTAAAGTAAAGTAAAAGCAAAGCAATTAAGCAAGCAAAAATAAGTTAAAGACAAAAAGAAATGTCAAATCCTAAGTCAATTAGATAAGAAGTTGAGAAACAAATCAAAAATTGTACCATCAAGAAGCATGATGTCAAGAAGTTCTTCAAGTTAATGAAAAAATAGTAAAAGCACTATCAGATTTTACAGTTTGCAGGAAATGGATCATTTGCAATTGTTTTAAAGGCTATCAACAAAATTACTGGCTAAACAGTGGCTCTTAAAGTCGTAGAATGCGATGAAAGCGACTTCAAAGGAATGGAAGTTATTCAAAACGAGTACAAAATGCTGGAGGTATTCAGCGGTTGTAAGTACATTATCAAAGTATTCAACAGTTTCTACCTTACTGAAAGCAATGATTCTGATTCTGATGAAGATGATGATTAAATTCCAGTAGGCTAAAATAACAATTAATCAAACTTAATCAGGGTATTCTATGTTATGGAATAGGAATTATGTCAAAGTAATATACTTCAATAAATTGCTATATATTCCTTTTAAATTCATACTCATTTTAAGATGATTGCGAGTGTTCAAAAAACTCTAAAAAGACATATTTATTAGTTATTATTCTTTTTGCTTGTTAATTAAATAACAAATCCAAATATGAATGAATGTTTAATTAAATAGTAAATTTCATTCATTTTTTAATGAATAATGAATGAATTCGTTTTTTCCTTTTTCTTATCTTGCTTTTAATTCATTCATTCGCTTTTAACATTTTTCTAATTTTCCATTTATCTTAATGTTAATAGTGAATGCAATTCTCTTTAACTAGTAAGATAATAAAGAAAGCATTTAATATCAAAAAATCAATAACTCAATTCAATTTACCTTGTCATTTAACAAGTAAATAAATCAATAAATTCTATTCATTTTTGAATGAATAAAATAATAAAGATTAATTATTCAATATAAACAAATAATAAAGATATCCTTTATTCAATTTATGAATGAGTGTCAATCATTATTATTAATAATTTACATACAAAATAAAATAAGAAAATATTCATTCATTCATTCATTCATATTTTTATTATTTGAATTTATTTTTTCAAATTTTATATAGGACACATTTCTATTCAAATTGAATGAGAAATATAAAATTACAATCACTTTTTTATTATTATATTTATTAATGAAATAATATATTAATCTATTTTTTAAAATAATTTATTAAAAATATAATGAAATAATAGCTTTAACACAAATAATATAGATATATCTTCTATTAAAAAATGTTTTTTTTAGCTAAAAAGCTAATTTTAAAATAAATAAACAATTATAAGAAAAATAAATGAACTTCTCTCATTTTTAAATAGTTTTCAAGAATATTTTATTTAATTTTTATCATAATTTAATATAAAAGCTACTCTATCGTCATTCATTGATACGTGTAAACAAAAAAATAGCTATCCAAGCTAATAAATGAAAGAAATAATGACAATCTAAATCTTAGATTCAGTAGCTTTTTTGCACAGGTTTGATGTTGTGCATAGAGATATAAAGCCATCAAACTTTTTGCTTAACTTTGATCAAAACGGCAATCCAACTCTTAAGCTATGTAATATAAATTATTTAAAATAAACGATTTTTATACTTTAGAGATATTTAACTAATTTTATAAAGTTGAACTCAAAGTAAATCTTAATTAATTTATTGATAATCCATCAATCCATTGAAATATTAAAGAAAAATTCAATTAAAACTCCATTAAACCTCACTTAATAAAAATTTTCCTTTTTAAAAGGATAATTATTCTTTTAAAATTTAAAATAAATAAATAACTTTCTAAGCAAAGCTCAAAAAAGCATTTTTTTAAAAATTTTGGCATTGAGTTAAATAACAAATCATGAAAATAGCAGCAATTTTAAAAAAAACCTTGCTTTTTATCTAGTTTTTTGAAATTAATTTTGATTTTTAAGAAAGTTAGATTAAATTATTATATATTTCAAAGTGTTTATTTAGAATATGTAAGAAATAGCATTAAGAACTACTCACATCATATTAAAATTAATCTGAATATATAATATTTACAGATTAAATTCAAAATTTACAGCTTTAATTTTCTCAAAGTTTTGTTTCTTAGTATTCTATATAGAAATACAACTGGATCATATATAAATTCTTAAAAAAATAATAAAACTTTTCGTTTAAATTGTTATATTTACTGAAAAGCTTCTTGATTTAATAGCTAAATTATAGTATATTGCTAAATATATTGATTCAAAATAATTTAAATAAATACCTTAAAAATAAATATACTAAATTGAAAAAATATTTCTAAATCATAAGAAAAATCCCCCTGAAAATGGCTGGGCTTGTAAAAAATGTGTGGGATTTAAGTATATGAATGAAGATCTTGAATATATATTTTTGGAATTTTACTTAAATATTTTATTTTTAAAGAGCTTAACTTGTTTTAAATATTGAGATAAACTATCATGTCAATATCATCAAAGAATATAAAAAAAGCCAAGAGTTTAAATAAAAAGTTTTATGAAACATTTTAAATATTAAAAATTTTTCAATTTTCAACTATTAATTAATACAAAATAAAATAGTTAGTTTTGTTGAACTTTATTTATCTTTTTTAATAATTACTTAATTTTTGCAAGCAAATAAAAAAATTTTTGTTATGATTTTCTTTAATCAAAGAAATTTACTTAGTTTATCTAAAAAAATTATATTTATATATTAAATTATATCAAAAAGGTGATCTAGCTTTTGCATCCGCTCTTAAGAATAACGAAACAAGACTTTCAATTTCGACTTTTGTAATAAAATTTTTAAAGAAATGTTTAATTAAATTTCTATTATAAATTTTAGAAAGGATCTTAAGCTTATACTGCTCCAGAGGTTTATTACAATGTATACAAAAAACTGGTAATTTTAAATTATTTTCTTTATTTATTTTGGCTTGAAACTGATTTAGTAATATTCATAATTTTTTATCATAAAAATCATTCTATTTATACTAATATTTATTAAATTAAAACTAGTCTGATATATTTTCTGTCGGAATTGTTTTGCTAGAACTTGATAACATAGCAACATTTGATGTCAGTAAAACAGTCATTGAGCAAAAGTTTGAAACAAAAAATGGATAAATCTTCTAAAATTTCAGCATAGATAGATAATCCAAAATCTATTAGATAGCCATGCAATGCCTTAAATATGAAGTGGACCAGCGTAAACCTGCAGTTGAGCTTCTAATTCAATTCATTGTTTAGAACTAATAGCACTTGAATGTAGATGTTTTTACATTATTAAATAAGGTAAAATTATTTCTTTTCTTATCTTTAAGTTTGCATAAATTTATTATAAACTCAAGTCTCAATTAAAGCAGAAAGCTGAATAGTTTAATTAAATTTAAATGAGCATAATACAGGACAAGAAAAAAAATGAAAGTGAGATCTTAAAGTTATCTTAGGTTTATCATGTAAATAAATGCTTATAAAATTTTAAATTAATCTTATTTATTATTTTAGAAAGATTTACACTTAGAAAAGCTTATAAAAAAATATTAATAATTGGAAAGAAAGCCCTTCGAAACTTATGAATATTAAATCATTCTTAATGATTTGCAAAAAATGACTAAATTTGATCCTAACTTCGAATTCATTTCAGTTGGAGCAACTGGATTAGTTCTCGGGGTATTCAACAAAGCTTAAAATAGGTACTCAGCTCTTAAGATATAAAGAGCTAAAAAGCATGAAGTAGTCCGCGAAGTTGGTATCATGAAAGACTGTTAAATGCCTCTAGTCATTAAATTTTATGACTATTTTTACTTAAATGTGAATAATAAAGAAGATTTTGTGGTATATGAGATAGAGAAGTGTTCAGGTAATTCAAAAAATATATTTAATTACTTTACAATCATTTATTTTTTAAATTAAAATTATAAAGGCAACTTAAAACAATTCCTAAATAATTTAAAGAAACAAAATAAAGAACTAGATGAAAATCAAAAAATAAAAATAGCTATCTAAATCATGGATGTCATTAATTATCTTCATATTCATGATATCGTTCATAGAGATATCAAATTAGAAAACTTACTTTATGTAGAGTAAGATCCTGAAATTCCAGCAATTAAATTAGGTACTTTACTTACATTTTTTTATTAATTTTAATAATTTTATTTTGAATTTTCTTTTAAAATAGCTGACTTTGATTAAGCTAGAAAAATGCCTTATGATTGGTCGTATATTGATGGATAAAATGTTAAATAATACTATCCTATTGAAGGAGCTGTAAATATACTATTAAAAATTAGTTTAAATTTATTTTTATTTTTATTTTAAAGTGCGGAACTATTGGATACTGCCCACCAGAATTAGTCAAAGATTTCTTATACAGTTTTAATGTATGATCATAATATCTAAAATTATTTTTAAGACTTATTTTTTATAAAGAGTGACATTTTCTAAGTTGGAGTTTGTCTTGCACTTATAGACAATTTTGAAACTTTAGAACCAGTACTTGTTAACAAAAGTCTAGATTATTTGAACAACTTTTCAATCCCTTTTGAAGTAAAACAACATAATGAATAAGAAGTTGTTAAAAGGAATACTAAAATTTATGATATACTGCTTTAAACTATTGTTTTCAAACAACATAAAAGGTCCAATTTATCTCTTATTCTAGATGGTTTTTCTAAAAAAGGGTACCAATACCATTCAAAAGTTAATGCAAAGTCAAATTAAGTATTTATAATTAATCTATCCATGCCCATTAATTCTTTCAAATTATTAATTAGATTATATCATCCATCTGTTAAAGGGTTCTTTCTTTAAATTATTCGTAAATATTTATCATCTTTTAATCTTAAATATTTTTATGTTTTATGATATTTAGATTAATTCATATTTAAAAAGCAAAAAATATTTAAGTTCAGATGGGGTGAAAGCAGTTGCTTCCGAAATAGCTAAATGTACTAATCTCTCTACTTTAAGCCTCGATCTCAGGTAATTTTTTACACATTTTCTCAATTTATAGTTTAAATAAATAATTAAAGAAATCAAAGAATTAAACAATATTTATTTATTTAATTAATTAAGTATTTTTGTTAATTTTAATTAGTAACAACAACATAGGTTCAGATGGGGCGAAAGCAGTTGCTTCCGAAATAGCTAAATTTACTAATCTCTCCACTTTAACCCTTTGGCTTGGGTAATTTTTTACACATTTTCTCAATTTATAGTTTAAATAAATAATTAAAGAAATCAAAGAATTAAACAATATTTATTTATTTAATTAATTAAGTATTTTTGTTAATTTTAATTAGTAACAACAACATAGGTTCAGATGGGGCGAAAGCAGTTGCTTCCGAAATAGCTAAATGTACTAATCTCTCTACTTTAAGCCTCAATCTCAGGTAATTTTTTACACATTTTCTCAATTTATAGTTTAAATAAATAATTAAAGAAATCAAAGAATTAAACAATATTTATTTATTTAATTAATTAAGTATTTTTGTTAATTTTAATTAGTAACAACAACATAGGTTCAGATGGGGCGAAAGCAGTTGCTTCCGAAATAGCTAAATGTACTAATCTCTCCACTTTAACCCTTGACCTTGGGTAATTTTTTACACATTTTCTCAATTTATAGTTTAAATAAATAATTAAAGAAATCAAAGAATTAAACAATATTTATTTATTTAATTAATTAAGTATTTTTGTTAATTTTAATTAGCTCTAACAACATAGGTTATGGGGCGAAAGCAGTTGCTTCCGAAATAGCTAAATGTACTAATCTCTCCACTTTAACCCTTTGGCTTGGGTAATTTTTTACACATTTTCTCAATTTATAGTTTAAATAAATAATTAAAGAAATCAAAGAATTAAACAATATTTATTTATTTAATTAATTAAGTATTTTTGTTAATTTTAATTAGCTCTAACAACGTAGGTTCAGATGGGGCGAAAGCAGTTGCTTCCGAAATAGCTAAATGTACTAATCTCTTCACTTTAAGCCTCGATTTCGAGTAATTTTTTACACATTTTCTCAATTTATAGTTTAAATAAATAATTAAAGAAATCAAAGAATTAAACAATATTTATTTATTTAATTAATTAAGTATTTTTGTTAATTTTAATTAGTAACAACAACATAGGTTCAGATGGGGCGAAAGCAGTTGCTTCCGAAATAGCTAAATGTACTAATCTCTCCACTTTAACCCTTGACCTTGGGTAATTTTTTACACATTTTCTCAATTTATAGTTTAAATAAATAATTAAAGAAATCAAAGAATTAAACAATATTTATTTATTTAATTAATTAAGTATTTTTGTTAATTTTAATTAGCTCTAACAACATAGGTTATGGGGCGAAAGCAGTTGCTTCCGAAATAGCTAAATGTACTAATCTCTCCACTTTAACCCTTTGGCTTGGGTAATTTTTTACACATTTTCTCAATTTATAGTTTAAATAAATAATTAAAGAAATCAAAGAATTAAACAATATTTATTTATTTAATTAATTAAGTATTTTTGTTAATTTTAATTAGGTCTAACAACATAGGTTATGGGGCGAAAGCAGTTGCTTCCGAAATAGCTAAATGTACTAATCTCTCCACTTTAAGCCTTTCGCTTAGGTAATTTTTTACACATTTTCTCAATTTATAGTTTAAATAAATAATTAAAGAAATCAAAGAATTAAACAATATTTATTTATTTAATTAATTAAGTATTTTTGTTAATTTTAATTAGTAACAACAACATAGGTTCAGATGGGGCGAAAGCAGTTGCTTCCGAAATAGCTAAATGTACTAATATCTCTACTTTAAGCCTCAATCTCAGGTAATTTTTTACACATTTTCTCAATTTATAGTTTAAATAAATAATTAAAGAAATCAAAGAATTAAACAATATTTATTTATTTAATTAATTAAGTATTTTTGTTAATTTTAATTAGGTGGAATAGTATAGGTTCAGATGGGGCGATAGCAGTTGCTTCCGAAATAGCTAAATGTACTAATCTCTCCACTTTAAGCCTCTACCTCAAGTAATTTTTTACACATTTTCTCAATTTATAGTTTAAATAAATAATTAAAGAAATCAAAGAATTAAACAATATTTATTTATTTAATTAATTAAGTATTTTTGTTAATTTTAATTAGCTCTAACAACATAGGTTCAGATGGGGCGAAAGCAGTTGCTTCCGAAATAGCTAAATGTACTAATCTCTCCACTTTAAGCCTTTGGCTCTAGTAATTTTTTACACATTTTCTCAATTTATAGTTTAAATAAATAATTAAAAAAATCAAAGAATTAAACAATATTTATTTATTTAATTAATTAAGTATTTTTGTTAATTTTAATTAGCTCTAACAACATAGGTTCAGA